GGGGGCTCCGCGCTGCCCCGCGCAGCGCTGCGGAGCGGAGCGGAGCGCGGCCACGGCCCCCGCCGTGTCGCCGCCTCCTTCCAGCGCGCTCTCTGCGGCGAGCACCGTAGGCAGGGGAATAATTTGAAAATGAGGTGTAATTGCTTCCTACATTAAGTATTTTTAAACGCTTAAGTAGACTGCGAATTTCCTACGTTTTAATTACAGCACGGTATAACTGTTACTTAATAAATCCCCGCCTAAATCTTTGTACTTGCTAATCAAATCCCATGCCAGGAGACGAGCTATAAAAGACTTAACTGTTACTCATGGAGAGAGCTCAGGTTTGGGGAATGCTTCCACTCAATGAAAGTATTTTTTCTAAATGTAGTATCCCTTTGCCAGCTGTTCTTTTGTGATACTTGCAATTGTTTCAAGGAAAAGCTTCCATCTCTGTCTAGCATGTTACCATTCAAGAGCAGAATTCTGAGACATGTTTGCTGAAGGTCGATGACTGATTTTGGATTCCATGGTGAAGAGAGCTCCATGCCTGAAATTTGGTGCTGAGAGTAGATGAAATAAAATCAATCAAAATCTTTTCAAAATCAATATTTTTAGCACACATTAAGCAAATGCTTTCAAAAAGATGAATTAAGGTAGCATAGGAAATGTTGTAGGCCTCAAAGGTGAACAACCATTTTATTACCTGTATCACCTTGCAAACAATGTGCAGGCCTTAATGATACCCTGTTTGTTTTCCATTATTGCTGCACTATTATTCCTTTATTATTCCATTCGTTTCCTCTCACAGATAATGTATTATGTAGTATAGCCATTACTGTGAAATAGAAGATAGAATTTGGTTTAGAAATAAATATTCAACTTTCCATGTTTTTCTTTAAAAATAAAACAAAAAATGTGTTAGTAATCTTACTGAGAATATGGAAGTATCCTGTCATTAACCTGCTAAGAACAGCTGTACTGTGGCTGTAGTGTCGTCATAAACTCCAATCTGGGCCTTCTGCACATGTGTAACTTTCAGAAGTGAATGATTTTGTGGAAGTGTTCACAGGATCCGGCTCATGGATTATAAACTATTGCCTCTGTTAGAATCACATTTGCCTTAGCAGAAATTTGAGGAACAATGTTATAGAAATTGGATTATTTTCAATGCTGATGTTGGAACCCCCCTTTTTTTTTTTTTAGACTTGTTTAATTCTTTCATTATTTTTGCTTTCACTATTTATTTATTCAGAATATATCACTGTTTAACTGTTAATACCAATTTTAGTTCAAAGTTTCATTCAGCCTAAAAGGTTGCCTGATATATGTAATTTAAACATATGGACTATTTGAAAAAGGGAAAAAATTAACATTAATATAATAAATTGCACAGAGGTTTTGAAATGGCAGGAAACCTGAAAGGTAATTTTCATTACTTTTCACATTACAAATAATACAGAGAGGATTCCCACACAACCTAAAAACGGTAGTGTTTGGCTTTGGAAGCTTCTAATGCATAGAGCAGGCTATTCAGATAATTCATTCACATATACATTGTTTGCTTAATGTGTTATAAGTACACTTCCTTGCTAATTTAGAATACATTCAAAGAAAATAAATGTCAAATAAGAATGGGAAAAATGTGATTTTCTTCATTTTTACAGGATTCCTGTAGCTATAAAGAATAATTCCAACAAGGTCCAAAGTGAAATTCATAAATTGAATTCTTGCTGGCTTGGGAGTTTGCTGGTCACAGAAGCCCAGTGGGTCTGGGTGCCAGTTAAACCAGCCCCAAAGCCTCGGAAATGCCTCAGACCTTCCCGTAGTCCCTTGCAGCGTGTGCTGCTTTGGATGCAAATATAGATAAGATGGGGACAACTAAGAACATTGGTTCATTTATCCAGATCTAGCAGACGAGTATCTGGAATGGTGGAACACAGGGAAACCGCGGTCATGATTTACGTGCCAGGAGGACTATAGTGAAATAGGCTCTGTCTCAGGGCTTACAGGATAAATGCCATTTTCCTCATCTCCTTTGTGCAAAGCTTGTTAGAAAATTCTGGTCTTACAAAAGCTGATGCCCTGGCATAAAGGTGCCCTGGAAAAGAGAAGTGGCTCCTCTGTCACTCTCGCTCCTCTCTGCGTGTGTAACCAGAGTCAGGGTCAGTGAGCGGCGCCGGGAGCGGAGCCGCGGGGAGCTGAGCTCGAGGCTTCACGCAGGCTTCCCACCCGAGCCAGAGCAGCGGGAAGCGGCTGCGAGGTGCCTTACCAAGGGGTTTCACGTGGGTGATGGGGAAAACCTCTCTTTCTCGCTAATATCAGCAATACGTTTTAAGCATCAGCACTGTTCAAGAACACAGGTTTGCTTCTCACAGCGAGTAAATAGTTCCAGAGCTGACAGATGCCTGAAGGACTTATTCTGCCAGGCTTAGCTGTGGCAGATATTGCTTAACTTCTCAAGAAATGCCCTGGAAACTCCCTCTGTAAGAGAAAACCTAGAAAAAAAATGAGCCCAAAGAGCAAGTTTTTTTTTTTTACTTTCCAATTATATCTATGTGATTCCCTCTTTTAAGCCGTATACCTTTGTTTTAACACACCAGCTTCTGTAGCCTTTTTTTGTTAAGGCTAAACTCTTACCAAACTCCCACCCTTGTCAGCAGCAACAGCGAAGGCTGATCCCTGACGAGTTCGAACGCTGCATTTTGCTCCTTACCCCACACATCATTGGAAGCTTTGCCTGGGAAAGGAGGCAGCAAGAATTCCTATTTTCATCCGAGCAATATGTTGTCACACTCACTTAACGCAAAGCTGAAGTCTTGAATGCAGAACATTTTTTTGCTTTAAATATTATTAATTTACTAGTGTCTCTGGGACCTTTGTTTGCAAAGTCATCCTGTATTTGGGATTTTGGAGTTTGGAAGCTTTGCCTGGCAAACTGTGATTTTGTACCGATAGTTCCACAGGAAATCACAGAGATGCCTTGTAAAGTTTCTCTTCAGTTTTAATTACCTGATATCCCAAGTTGTCGTTTATATGTAAGTGACTGTATTATATTTTCCCAGTGCATCATTTGCACACATTTCTCTAGTCAAACAGCTTTGCAGCTGTGAGTTGGGCAAGCTGAAAAGGAAAATAGATTTTGCTGAGAGCATGACAGTTTTAGGTCATACACGTTTTGTATTCAGAGCGCAGTTACATGCAGTTCATATACAGAGACACATGTGGTGTGGTATGGAGGAAAGGCTTCTATACAACTATATTACTCATACAGAAGATGAATATTCAGAGTATTTTATGTGTTAAGCACTTTATACTGATGACTGCAGTTAAAAACAACTAATTGAAATCACTGCAGAAGTAAAATAAATGCAGAACACAAGATTAGTTTGTATTTGAAATGAAAACATACAATAAATGTCATATTTAAAATGCGTTTTTCAGAAACCTCATGCTTGTGACTTTCTATACTAACGACATGGATGTACAGACTGAAAGAACTACAATCTGCATTTTAATGCACTTGAAAATGCAGCAGATCTGCATTATATCCCTACCTAATTTGTTGAGAGGCAGATAGCGTTGGAAATATTTTTTTCAGAAAAATGTTTGCATTGCAGGAAGTAGATGTGCTTTGCCAAAGGGAGCTGATACTTATTTTTGGAAATATTTTTTTCAGAAAAATGCAGGAAGCAGATGCGCTTTGCCAAAGGGAGCTGATACTTATTAATAGGAAAAAAAAAAAGAAAAAGAGAAAAGAAAGCTGGTAACTTAGCAAGTGGTTCTTGCAAACTTGCTCTTGGAAATGATGAGCCATTTGGAGGCCTGATCCCAAACCACTGGAGTTGCTGAAAATGCTCTTCCTAATTAAAAGAGGCTTGTGAACATGGTTTGAGTGAAGCTATCCTTTGACATGTTGGACAGAACCCAAAGCAGCAACTGCTTCATCTCTGTCTCAGCAAAACTTCATCAGCTGTTTGTGGCCTGACTTTTCAGCCTTGCTGGGGTAGCACTCCCTGGGCTTTGCTTGCTTTCTGATTAGGGGATCATGAGCTCCATGTGCTTATGGCATAAAAGGGAAGGCTCCCTTTTAGGGCAAGTGATTGCAAATAATTGTGAGTGCAATTCTGGACAATTACTTGCATAGAAAATGTAGGCAATGTAAACATTTAAGTTCCTGATCTTTGATTGTAGGTGAACAAATGAAATGTATATGTGGTGGCCAAAGCATCTGTAATTGTTTTCACCTGCTATTCTTAAAACTCACAAAATATGGGAAGTTTTCTGTGAGTCAAATGAAAATTTAGTTTTAAACATCACAGCCAATTAAATGACCCTCCTACACAGATCATTTATTGCAAAATTTCACTAGTGGGTTACCTATGTAGCCTCCTGTACTCTACACTCCTGTTATATGACTGTGCTGAATTCCTCCGTGATAGTGGTCAAGACCTTACGCTCCACACGCATTCCCAGTGGGATGCTGAGGAGAGGTGCACATCGGCTTTCTTGCCATAATACCGAGCAGGAATCTTAGCCACATTCCTCTCTGGTGCAAGAGTCCTTTGCCTGAGGACAATCTAGTTCTGTGTTAAGCTGCTGAGGATCGCTTCTTCTTGTTATTTAGTCACCAAAGTGGCTTCCTCGAGCTCTAGGCATCCATGTCGTTGCATGTTGTGGGTGAGGGGCATGAGCTGATCCCACTACCTGCACCCAATTCCTTCCCAGGTGATGTGGATGGCACCCCATTCGAATCCCATTTGTGAGACCTGCCTCTTTCTGGCCACCTGCTTCCAAGGCCAAAACACAGTGCCCTGCCCACCCACCCACATGGCTCCAGGGCACTCCACCCGGATGAGACTAAT